TATATATATATATATATATATATATATGTTTCCCCCAGCCTTAATTTGACCCTTAAAACTTAAGGAGAGTGGGCTGCCAAACCTTGTTACTCTTCTTCAAAAAACCCTAGTCTACATCTTGTCATTAATGGCTTCAGAACAGCCTTCAGGGGGTCACATCAGCATCTTTCAGCCCAAATCATGCCTTTGTAGAAGGAGAAGTTAGTGACATCTGTTGATCCATAGAAATGTTCCTGTGAGACGTTTTGTATGTGCCATTTCAGCAGGCAAGGATTTTTGTTTGGGCAGAAGCGGCAGTGGTAGTTTATGTGCAGCTTTTGCTAAAGTGATCCAATAGAATTAACAGTAAAGTTGTGTATCATATAATAACATGGTTGTTGATAAAAGCATACAGTAAAATTATACTTTCTACTAAGTTGAGCAAAAGTAAAATTGAGTGTAATATATGATCATATATAAAAGTAAAGTGAAACTATGTAAAATAGTAAAACTGAAAATGAAAAACAGGGAATTCTATTTGATTTTGGCCCCTATTCTTTCTGTAAGTAGCACAGTTGCACCTATGGAGTATAAGACAGGCTGTAAGTTGTTAGAGAGGAGCCAAACTATTTTTTCTTCATTAGCCCAGTACTTAAAATGTTCCACAAATGGAGAGTTTGGATGGAAGCATTCCCCTCGGTGTTAAAACCACAGCTTTTTATTGCTACCCCAGACACAGACAGTAAAACAGACAAGCATATGTTTATTTCCCAGTCTGAATAAAATGCAAAGTATAAAGTGGTACCAACATTGCTGGAAAACTAAACTTTTTTTTTTAAATCTGTTCAGTACCAGTAATTATAAGCAAGGTAGAGAAATGGTTACCACCAGAAGCCTCACATTAAAAGGGACACTTGAATTTGTTATAGATATGAGAACCCTGCCTCACTCTTACAGGAATTAGTTTCCTACGTCCATTCACAAGTTTCCCGCAGGACACGGTTCACTCCTGTGATTTCTACCATGGTAGCCAAAGACAGCCTTAACTTTGCTCCCTAGGATTCTGGCACTTTGGACATGCGAGGAATGGGACAGGTTCTGCCCACACATCTCATGGAGGAGAGGTTGATACGACAACAACAAGAAATGGAGGAAGATCAACGTTGGCTTGAAAAAGAGGAGAGATTCCTGGTAATTCCTTGCTTCATGCATTGCTTCTTTCTTGTTCTGAATTACCAGTTAAAGCCTGTTAAAACTGATAAATTCTGTGCAACATGAGCATGTATTGAACAGATAGATATCAGTTAACTTTCAACCTTGACTTATTTGGGCCACCCTCATGTTCTAGTAATCTCAGAATATATACCTCTTAACTACCCATTATAAAATTAATTATATACATCTGAAACAGTTAGTTTGAAACAGATTTTAAATGAAATATCAACCAGGGAAATGAATCCAGTTTTTGAAATGTCTGAAATAGTTGTTTTCCTTGTGCCCTGTAGTTGAGTCTTCATCGCATTTGCATCTCTCTAGATTATAAGGTGTAGTAGTAGCTACTTCTGCTAGTCTGTGGCGTCTCCAGCTTGACCCTAAATTTATCATGCTCAGTCCATAGGAGACTGATGTCATTTCACACCTGCCTGGCACCCATGGCTCTGAACCCTGGTGTGTTTAATATTCCTTTGGAGGAACAGGAGAGAGATTAGTAGAAGGGATTTTTAGAAAAAATGGGGCATGGCAGGAGTGAGTAATCATTCTTATTGTTTGTAAAGAGATTCTTTCAGGGCTTTTTGTATCACTGGAGGAAGGAGAACAAACGTTATGTGTAGGTGGGAGCTTTTATTTTTCTACCTCTGTAGAAACTTTTTCACACTTTGCCAAGGCCATAGTTTTACTTTTCTGTCTTGGAAGGTGTAGCCTTAGGGACTATAGAAATTTTAGTTCCCCAGTGATCAGTAGTACCAAAAAAACCTCAAAGTTCAAATTCTGTGTTTAAACACCTTTCATACCAGTGGTTGCTGGGTAAGCTACAGAGACGCACAGTCAGACCACGGGTTGGGAAACAACTTGCTGTTCTAGTCTGCATAGGTGCTTGTACAATACTCGCCGTCTGAGTGCCCTCCAGTAGTGCAGAATGTCAGATGACTAATGTCTGTCATACGTCTGTTCTCATTCTTTTTCCAGGTTTATAGAACTGTGTGGAATGCTTGGGGATTTTTAATGTGATGTATAGCTATAAAATATGCATATCCAACATTATGTTGCTTGGATGTATGTGAGAGAAGGCGAAGTCAGGTGTGTGCCTTGTACTTTAAAGCAGAAGTGGCAAGGTTTGGGTCCTTTGTTCCACCAGGAGTTCATTTACTGTCTCGGGCTATCCTCCAGAAAGCTGTCTCCTGCACACACAAGTGTTACCTTAAATGTAAGAGGCCTCTCCGCCAGTCAGCAACAGGGAGGTGAGCAGGGGAGCCTGCAAGATCAAAGGAGCCACTGCACAGGCTGCTTCTGCCACAAATTCTTTAGGTCCTAATAATAAGTAGGGACCTACCCAAATTGCAGGAATTGTGAAATCGGGCAATCTCTGCAAAATCCACAGTGGGGAATAAAACATACTAAAAATAACATGCTGACTCCTGTGCGAGCCAGGAGTTCTCCTAGCCACGCAGCCTACCCAGGGGGAGAGCAGAGGGAGGCTGCTGATGCAAAGGCAAGCAGGCAGGAT